CTACCTTGTGTCCTTTATGATACACTGGTAATAATAAGCGCAGTGCTTTCCTGCATTCTGGGAGGCATTCTAGTGAGTTAGCAAACCTGAGGGAAATGTGGGAAATACCAAGTTTATATTCAGTTGGTCAGAAATGGAGGTGACTCAGGAACCCCCTCGGTATGGCTGGCATCTGAATTTGGGCCATGTTGCTTGGGTTGTGCCCCCTAACTTGATAGGACTGTGCCCCCCAACTTGATAGGCCTGGGCCCCCTAACTTGATAGGACTGGGCCCCCCAACTTGATAGGTCTGTGCCCCGTAACTGGACAGACCTGTACCAACTCTGAGTGCTGGCTAGTGTGGAATCTGACTGCAGTATCTCCAGCTGGGTCCTTCCCAGAACAGAGCACCCAGAATCTGCCTGGGAACTTTGTACACCATCATTAACAGGGCACAGCGCCTGCCTGTGGACTCCTTTATCCTTAATGATAAGGTGCACACAAAGGGTGAGAATTACAAATATATATCTTCACTACAGCTCTGGATTTGAACACATCCACACCCTCTGGAGGAAGAGTGCTCTTCAGTTCTTTTAAGCAGTAGTTCTTATTGACACTTCCCTAGAAGAGGCCAAAGAAAGTCTTTCACTTGAAAGTAATTTTCTGCCTTCAAGAAAAAGCTACAAAATGTTTGTGGACTGCCTCACTTTTAGCCAGATCCCTGAGGTGTAGGAGCTGTAGCCCAAGGCACAGATCAATAGCAACCATCCAGGGGCTCATTGCTTTGTGGCCCCAATCAACCACATAAGCCAACTGCATGCGGCTGCTAAGACAAGGGCTGTCTTCGACACTTTCTTTCCATCTTGTGGGTGGGCATATTGTTTTTGTTTTTTAGTGGTGGTAATCGTTAGAAAGTGGTTTTGGTTTATGGTATTCTTTTAGTTTTTTTTTTTTTTTTTTTTTTTGGCATAAGGCACGTGTGCTTGCTGGAGAGACACAGAGAGAAAAATGAGAAATCACCTCCCATGGGAGATGGCCACACCACAGTCCCTTTCCTTCCATTCTCCTCTCATGATTTTGAATGCCTGCCTGGTGTGATTTTCAAGCCGCGGAGTCTAGGACCTGAACCATGGTCGACCATGTGGGAGTCCAGCACCTTAACCACACGCCATCTGCTGGCCCCAGTGTTTTGTTTTGTTTTAATTTCCCCCAAGGGAGCAGAAATGATCTTTATTTTTTTCCACTAAAATTGTGTACAAAAGATAATCTCTCAACAAATTTCCTTCATGTGAGAGCAAAAAACAGCACCAGGAGAGTCCAATACAGAAGAGAACATGTATGTGGGAACTCTGAATGACATGAGCGATTACAGTTCCAATGTATGACTTGCAAATGAGCTTACAGCGATAGGAATGCTATGACTTCACAGAACTACAACACAGGGCAGGCTCTGAAGAGCTTCTGCTTAATGTGCTCAAACCTTCAAAGCAAGACCGGATGTGGAAATGTTACATTTGTGTTCCTTTGTTTATTTGTTTATTTTTTATTATCATAATCTTGTTTATATTACAGTGAATCACACTTTCCAGTGTATTACATTTCTTTTTCCAGAAGGAATGCCATTCATATCAGACAATACCAAGACATTACAATCCTACATTTGTTCTTTAAGTTGTATTTTCTCTTAGCTTTGCTAATGTAAGAGAGACCCAGGTTCCAATATGTTCCTCACTCAACCATAGTGCATCATTTATTTATTTATTTTTAGGTTTTTGCCTTAGGGCACATGTGCTTGCCAGAGAAAGAGAGACTGAGACAGTGAGAGGGAAAGTGAGAAAGCACCCCACGGGAGGACAGGCATGCCACCATGCCTTCTCCTCCATTCTCCTCCCAGGCCTGTGCATGCATGCACACGGCCTTGAGTGAGTTTTATGCCACCAGGTCTGAGTTGGCCATGTGGGGGTCCAGCAATGTAACTGGTATGCCATCTGCTGGCCCCGTTCCAGTGCACTTTCAAAGCAGTGCTTCTTAGACTGTCCCGGGCATATCAAGGACATGGGCCCCCAGCTTTTTCTGCTTCCTCTAGAGCTGAGCGAGTGAGTGAGTGAGTGAGAGTGTATGTGTGTGTGTCAGAGAGAAAGAGAAAAACAAGTAATTTGCAAATGAGGTGGAGAGCACACTTGGATCTAAAGGCCTCACAGGTATTTTCCCTTTTCCTACAGAGAATAAATAAAGTATATGTGAATCTAAACAGAGGTGTGAATTTTCAAATTTTATAATGAGAACAAACTGCCTCAAAAACAGAATCATTATCCTATCAATCAAATTACTCACACTTAAAGACTTCTAAAGATATCAATAATTTACTGAAAACAAAGATGCAAAAGGAAGGTGAGAAAAATTTTAGTATGGCAAAAGTTGTTTTTTTAGAGAAAGACATTTGATTTTTATTTTAAAACAAGGATAATAAATCCCAAACAAGCCAATCATTCACATTTTATTGAAATGCATGTTTATTATGCTTTGAAATATATTGAGACACTTAGAAAAGTCCAAACTTTGGTCATGTCACAGAAGAAAATTTCTATAGAATTTCACAATGAAAGAGCATCAGGTGTCTTGTCATAGGCCAACCCTAATGTAGTAAACCAATATGCCCTTCTTGAATTTTAGAAATGTCAATTTGGGCCCAAATTCTTGAGGAATCTATGCAAATATTCAACAGGTTTCCTGGACACCTGATCATCTACAAAGTTTTTACATTAAAATTCAGGAGGACTTAACCAAGTTGCCGTCACCTTGAAGTCACCCAAGCACTCATGAGTGGAAAACCCGTGTGTATGACATGTCTGGGAATATGTGTTGGAACAAGGCCCTGGGGAGGACGGACCAACATCTGTCAGCTGGCTGCTTTAGCAGTCAGGGTCCTCACTTAGACCTCCAGGGACTGGGGCTCCTCTCTCAGCTCCCCAGCGTGGGAAACTAGAAAATAGAAGGCTACATTAGAAGATTTTGTGGTCATGTCATGGAACCGCTTCATTTCAAACATGAGGAAAGTAAGTCCCTGGGAACTGCAAGCACTTTCCTGAACATTCCCTACATTTTCTGTTCCAGGGTATACGTCCAGTTAGCAAGAGGTTGTTGTTCAGGATATGCCATGGTTAACCTTACAATCTCAGAGCAATGAACTCAGATTGGATTGAGGAAAGGCCTCTTTCAAGAGTCCTCGGGACCTTCCAAGGATGGCTCACCTCCTCTCTATCCACCGGCGAAATGTTTTGGTTGAGATGCCAGCTCAGATATGGGGCTGCAGGAACTGAATATTGAAGAGGCTGGATGATAGATGGAGAGGCCAGGCAACAGAGAGGGACCCAAAGAGGGTGATCAGGAAGGAGTAAGAGATCTAGACTGCCCTGGGGGTCAGAGACCACAGCATGCAGTCCTGCAAAGCGGGTGCACTGGAAATACTTGTTCCATATCTGGTAATGATTTCCTAGGGCTTCTTCTCCCAGAATGCAGTGTGACAGACCCACCACACTGTCATCTGTAAGAGCTTTGCCCCCAACTCACTCCTTATATTCATAATCTTGCTCCCTCAAATTTATAGTACTGTCAGAATAAAAGTGATGAATCCAATTCAGAACACAGCCTTCACCCCATCAGAATTCCAAACATAGAGGTTTGGATGACAGTTGGAAATACACAGAGAAGACTGGGCAAGCACAGCTGACAGACAGACAGAGGGGTGCTTCAGACTGAAGATTGATGAGATCAATTTTGAATCTCTCTGCCTTCATTTTCTAGGTTATAGATGCCAGTGATATTTTTTTTTTCTCTAAGCCTCATGTTTCAAGCTACATCCTACTACAGTTATCACAGATATCATTTTATATAACCTAGAGAAAATGAGTCACTTAATAATAAAGTAGCATTTTGGAACCTGCAGTCTACTACAAGTCTAATTCAATTCAGCTGGTTAGTCAGGGAGTTAAAAAAAAAAAAGCTATTCTCAAAGTTAAAAAGTGCTTGGGGACCAGCAGGTGGCATGGTGATTAAGGCGCCGGACACTTCCACATGGCTGACCACAGTTCGAGTCCCAGACCTGGTGGCTTGCTTTCTCATTTTCCCCCTCTCTCTCTTACCCTCTCTCCCTTTGTGTGTGTCTCCCTCTGGTCAAATCAAAATAAATAAATGAGTAAATAAAATTAAATAAATAATTCTTGAAAAAAGATTAATGAGTGCTTGAAATACCAGTAAACTAATTTTGTATTTCAGTTATTAAATGTGTCAATAAAGCACTAAATCAATAAGCATTGCACGATATGTCAATCTTATGTGATTATTAACTGTATCATTAACATGTGATATATTTTATTGTTTTTTTTAAAGAGAGTTTTTTACTATAGGGCGTGTGTACTTGCCAGAGAGAAAGACAGAAAGCGAGAAATAACCCCCCAGGGGGGATGGCCATGTCACAATCCCTTCTCCTCCATTCTCCTCTCGGGATCTTGGGCACGTACCCATACACACGTGCCTGGTGTGAGTTTAAGCCACCGGGTCCAGGACTCGAACCACGGCTGACTACATGGGAGTCCAGCGACATAACCATTACACCAGCTGCTGGTCCCAACATGTGATATATTTTAATATATCAGTCTCCTAGAGAGAAGTACCAAAAGGCTGCAGTGAATGGATCCCTGAAGGCAGGGGCAGGTCTAGTTCTCACTACAGAATCCCCAGAGCCCAACCCAATACTGGTACATAAATATTTGCCAGATAAAGAGATATTCATGTGACAAAATGGAATGGAATGAGCATTTTCTAATCATTCTAAAAATCAGTTTCCATGGGAATAAACCAGGGAGCCTTTTTGAAGGAGTAAATATTTCATTGCTGAATGACCCCATCTAGTGTTTTCTCCAAGTTGATCTTCTGAAGCTTCTCTCATTGGAGCACTGAAATAATGAGAGCATCATAAAAACGAAGGGGCAGGACCAAAGGTCACCCCCTGCACTCCTCACCTGCCATGTCGATGGCAAAGGGCCTGTCGGCTCTCCAGCCGGTGTACCAGCCAACGACCTTGCCATTTTCCACCAACGGACGTTCATAGCGCCGCCCACCAACCAGGCCCACTGGCCAGACAGAGACTTTGCGCGTGGTTCGCATCTAAAAAAGGGGGAAAGAGAAGTGTTTAAGTTTCTTTAGGAAAAGGAGGGAGGAAAGGCATGGCATCCACACAGAAAAAGGGGGAGAGGAGTAGTGGTGGGATTTCAAAAGTGGGAGCGTTCCAAACAGGATCCCTCTGCTGACAGACTGCTGCCCCAGCTCGTTACTGCTCGGCCGCTCGGTGCCACACACCCAAAAATTCACCTGCCTTTTAAGGGAAACTCTACCAAACGAAAGAGGAAGATGCCTCACACCACGGGCAGTTAGAGTCCTCAGTCCTGCTCTGGGCACACTGTTTTACATAGTGAAATCCTATATACACAACCCTCAACTGAAAGTTATTTGCTGATTGTTTTTATTTTTAAGACGAAAGATATGCTGACAACAAAGCAGCATTTTTACATAAACACCACTACCTTCTTCCAGTGCATGTTTTGATCAGCCTACACAGAGCCTTAATGCAAACTACTTTCATGGGGCATGTGTTGAACAGCCCACACAGAGCCTTAATGCAAACTACTTTCATGGCGGCCATGAAAGTCCAAGCTGGACTTAGCTAATCATCCTCACAGCTGGGTGTGCCCCTGGACAGGTCACAGTCTGCCCAGCTGCATAAGGCAGTCCCATAGTTGAGATCATTGTAATTTCAACACCAATGCTCTCACTTTCACTTGCTGTAGGATGGAATGGGCCATGGTCAGTGAATCAATGTTGAAATAATGATTACTAGGCAAGTAATTTTTTAAGAAAAGAAGAAAAATCATGTGCTTGGGAAAGATTTGTTTTTTTTTTTTTGAGAGGTTTTTGTGTGCACTCACCAGAAAGACAGAGAGAGACAGAGAGACAGAAAGTGAGAAACCCCCCCACCACCCCTTCTCTTCCATTCTCCTTTTGGGAACTTGAGCACACATACACACGCCCCCAGCATGAGTTTAAGCCACTGGGTCTGGGACTCAAACCACGGTCGACTACATGGGAGTCCAGCGACACAGCCATTATGCCATCTGCTGGTCCTGGGAAAGATTCTTAAATACAATAAAAAGCAAAGTCATACTTATCAAGAGTGAAAGTAATTAGAAGTTCCATTATTTACGAATACCGCACCTTATTCCAAAAAGAGGATTTAAGGGAACCAGCAGTTAGCGTAATGGCTATGTCGCTGGACTCCCACGTAGTCGACCGCGGTTCGTGTCCCGGACCCGGTGGCTTAAAACTCACGCCGGGCGCGTGTGCGTGCGTGCCCAAGATCCCCAGAGGAGAATGGAGGAGAAGGGATTGCGGCGTGACCATCCTCCCTGGGGGGTAATTTCTCGCTTTCTGTCTCTATGTCTCTCTCTGTCTGTCTGGCAAGCGCACGTGCCCTACAGTGAAAATCTCTCCAAAAAGAAAAAAAAAGAGGATTTAAGAGGGTGAAACACTCCTGGGAACGAGGGTCACACTGCATTAGGGACCTTCAGATCTGAAATTATATAAATTATTTTATGATATGGAGTGCAAGAGAGAGAGAAAGCACTCCTGGCAGGTTCTCGTTATGCTGTGACCCCTCTCCCCAGCCAGCCAGCTCCTCAGGACCTTGGGTGCCCATTCACGCATCCGGCATGTTCTCAGGCTAACTGGGGGACCCAAAGTGGAAGTTGGCATGTGGCTTCTAGCACTGCAGCATGTGAAGGAATGCACCAGCGAGGTTGGACCCAGCTCTGAAATAGCTTTTATAGTTCCTATTAATATCACTTTTCAACAAATTAAATTGTTACGATTGTTTTGTTCTAACTCCTAATAACTCTTATGATGACTTTTTTTGAAAGCTTTACTAAGGTACAACTGACTGTTGAAAAGAAATAGTTCTGAAGTTATTATCCTAAGAAAGCTTGTTTGCAAGGTGGGTTCTTGGCTGGCGCCTAATCACTTGAACTTTAAAACATAAAAAAAAAGGATGTTTTGCCTACTTGTGACATGAAACATTGGGAGTTGGAGATATTGCTGGGTAAGGGGTATGACTGTGACCAGCTTTTGAATCCTGAGTCTTAAATAGGTTTCCCTGGGCATAAACACTGTATCTGCAGCAAGGTGTTTGCCAGTGGAAGGAAAATATGCGCTGTGTGACCCTCAGGGAGGGGAGAGAACACAGAAAGCCTGCACATGCAGCTCTCCAGGCCCTGCCTGACGTCTCTCTCCCTTCCTGACCTGTGTGTCCAACCAGGTCACTGTGAACTCAGTTAAAGGTACAGCTATAGGCTGAGTGCTAGCAGAACACCAAACATGTGGGCCTGGGGGCCCTTAGAACAACTACTACAGGAGAAAACGCATTTTTAAAAACTTATTTTTAATTTCTTTTCATTTAAATTTTGCTATAGAGCCTGGGCACTCACCAAAAAGAGACCAAGATAGAAAAAGAAGCTGAGAAATCACCCCCCATGGGGGATGGCCACACTGCAATTCCTTCTTCATTCTCCTCTTGGGATTTTGGGCATGCACTCACATGCACCTGGTATATTTTTCAAGTCACCAGGTCTGGGACTCAAGCCATGCAGCTGGCCATGTGAGATCCAGCCACCCCAAGTGGGGTGGGTGCTAATCCCTCCACCATGCCACTGGCTGGCCCCCAAATGCACTTTTTAAAGTATACATTTTATGCCTTTGAGGTATGTATATAGCCATTAACCCTTTGCTGTGATGAAGATAATTAACATACTCAACACACCCAAAATATTCCTTATGCCTTTTTAATCTATTCTTCCAGTCCCTCTTCACATTCTCCAACCCCAGGAAACCACTGATCTGTTACTATACATTAGTTTCATTTTCTAGAACTATGTATGAACATAACCACTATAGCACGGAGTGTGTAAATATGGCTTCTTTCACTCAATTTTATGAAGAATTATCCATTTGCAAAGTGTAGTGATAGTTCCCCTATTTATATTGCCAGGTGGTACTCTATTATTTGGGTATGCTACATTTTGTTGATCTATTCACCTGTCATTGAACATTTGGACTGTTTTGAGCTTTTGGCTATCACAGATAAAGCTGCTATAAATATTTGCATACAAGTCTCTGTCGAATTCTTTTTCTTCTTCTTTTTTTCTTCTGATAAATACCTAGGAGTGGAATAGCTGGATCAAATGGTAGGTATACATTTAACTTTAACCAAAAAAAAAAAAAAAAAAAAAAATTTCCCAAAGTGGTTTTACCACTTTATATTCCCATCAGCAGTGTGAGAGTGCCGGTCCCTCCACATCCTCTCCGGCCCCTGGCAGAGGCGATCTGCAGTTTCAGCACTTCCAGCATATATAGCTCTATCTTGTTGGGGTTTAATTTGACTTTCCTAATGATAGTGTTGAGCACCTTTTTATGTGCTTATTGCCATTGCTTATCTTCTTCGGTAAACAGCCTGTTCACTTGTCTGTTCAGTTTTAAATAGTTATTATAGTTTTCTTACTATTGAGCTTTTTAACCTAATTTTATTCATTTTCATTATTAATATTATTATTGTGAAGTTAACCAAAGAGAGAAGAGAGAGAAGGAAACGGAGAAAGCAAGGTGCCAGGTCTGAGATTCGAACCTCAGTCAGCCATGTGGGAGTCCAGCTGCCTTAACCACTATACCACCTGCTGGCCCTCTTACTATTGAGTTTTGAGAATTATATATTCTGTATACAAATCCTTTATAAGATATATGACTTTAAAATATTTTCTCCCATTCTGGCTCATCATTTCATTCTCATAACAGTGTCTTCTGAAAAACAGAAGTTTTTAATGTTAATGAAGTCTTATTTATCAATTTGTTCTTTTTATGAATCATGCTTTTGGTGTCATATTTAAAATATTTTTGTGTAAACCAAGACCACAAGGATTCTCTCTTACTTTTTCATTTCTTTTCTTTTCTTTTTTTTTTATTTTGTGGTTTTTAAAAGGTTTATTTGACAAGTTTCACTTAGTGCAATAGCACTTAAAAGAAAATCATGATACAATGAAAGCTTTAAATCAAGGCCTAAGAATTTCATACAAACACCAAGACTAAAATCCTAAAGTACTGATATTGCATGTCAAATTTTCCCCATTAACTTAAAAAAGAAACCTTAAAACTTACATGCCTTACAGGTTATTAAATGAAACTAGAATTAACAAACATGCCAAATGCTTCACTTTAAATGGTAGACAAAGCTTCTATATTGAGTTTTACAAAGAAAGGCATGTCTTTCAATATCCATCCAAACAGCATTCAGTGTAATGGCGTATAAGAGCAACATTTAACATAATTCATCTGCTTTAACCCAAATACGCTTGCTGTTTAAGAACATCCTGCAAGATAACTGACTTGAGAAAAGCTGAAAATTGTTTAACAGTCATAGTTTCCTCATTTTGTTGTGATAGCCTAGGTTGAGTGCTGTGTTCAAGAATACTGAACCATCAGTCTTTAAAATAATCCTGATTTCCACTTAAAGAGTAAGCATAAATCACAAGCTAGTATTGCACGAACTGTTAAAGTTAATTTTTTTCTTAAAAAAAAAAAGTTGACTAAGAGTCAGTGAACCAGGATCAACCACATTCCCCACCCACCACTCATACTGGACATGCTAGACAGCCCTCCTGTTCCGTTCACGCCCACAGATGCACGGTTGGTTCTGCCTCTGTAGTGGCTGCTGCTCACTGCTCCTTAGTTACCATATCTGCTCATGCTGGTTTGGCCACCAGAGCCACCTCTGTAACCACTGCACAGCTGCTGGCTGGCTGGGCCACCATAACTGGACAAGTTTGACAAGCCCATGCCTCCCATCTTTTGGCTACCATAAGCACCACCCCTTGCTCCTGCTGTAGAACTCAAGAAGAGTTCTACCTATCTGTGTAGCATACTCGCGTTGTCTTTTGACGCAGCTGCCATGGCATCTTCATGAGCTGCAAACCCGATGTCTGCTTCACCAGTCACTCGGGCATCAGGGCCAATCTGGACTAGTTTGACAAGCCCATGCCTCCCATCTTTTGGCTACCATAAGCACCACC